ACAGGACCGCGCCACCATCAAAACATGACCGGCACACCATCAAAACATGACCGGATCGGGACACCATCTGCCCACCAGCTCGGACGGTGACCCGACGGCGCCCGTCCGCCTATTAGTTTTGCAAGACCCCATAGCATGGCTATTGGGGAAAAAGAATAAACAACACAACCCCAAAACCGGATCCAATTTGCAAAAAAAGGGAGAACAAACAAAAGCCACGAAAAACATCCAATTTGGATCCAATCTTGGAAATGTTTAGACGGCGAAAGAGGTTGGGCCGCCTTGGCCCTGAGAGCTTTGAATTGGTTCGGTCCTCAGACGACTTGGATGTCGTTTGATTTTGCTTTTGAGGCAAAGACTCAAACAAAAAACATAATATATATATAATATGTGCTTTAACTGTGATTTCGTTGCGGCACTTCAAGCTCGAGGGTTGGGGTATGCTTTGCTGGGCACTTTCTTGAAGGGTGCTTCTACTCTTCTGTTGCTTTCAGGCTCATTCTCCTGCCCCCTGCACTGCTATCCTTCAGTTGCCCTTCCCTTCCTCGCAGGCCTTTGTCTTGGATTTTGGCTCTTTTGGACTTTTCTCAGGCCAATTGCCTTCACGGCTTGGGTCGCTTCCGATCGACCCCGCTCTCAGTCTTCTAGGCGGCTCAACGCCTACTTGCATGAGTGATCAAGAGCGGCTTCGTCAAGACCTTCAGTCCTTAACACAAGCCCTTCGAGATCTCACGTTGGCTACAAGGGAGCTGACAGATCATCGTGCCGGAGGAGGAGCAGCCAAGGGTATACCACTCCCTCAAGACGCAGCGGTTGGGAACTGGTGACAGACGGGACTGCCATTCCTGGTGCGCCGCCGGACTTCCTCTCTCGGCCAGTGGTGGTTGAGTTTGAATCTGGCCCTCCAGAGCTGCCAGATTTTTGTTTGAAGCTTGCAAAGCGGAACCTCACTTCATCAAAGGGGTCAGCGGAAGATCGTGCTTGGGAGTCTTCCAAAGTTGGCTTCTGGGTGAGAGCCTTTTGTGAGAGATCCGTCCCTTACAATCCAGGAGTCTCCAACTACGCGCATTGGATCCTTCGAAAGGGCTCAGGCTTCGATTTTGTCAGGGTCACTTCACAAGCTGACGGTGATCGTCTGGTGGCAGATTATCCTGACATCACTCAGGTCGAGCGGCTGCCTTCGTTGACGCACCTCCATATCTTCTGTGCAGGTGCCTCTATTCCAGTGCCTCCACTATGGCGATGGAGCGCAGCTCAGTGAACTTTGCAGCAGATAGCTCAGACCACTCCCTGCTGATCTTCTACATCCCTGGAGATCTTACGGATAGTGGTCATGAAATTCAGTCTTTTGCTGTTGCCCTAGGTGCACGGAAGAAGGGGATGATGATCGCCCTGCCTACAGGCCTTTTGAAGGATGAGTTTTTGGCTCCTGGCCGAGTGGTTGAAGAGGACGCTCTGTTGGGGCCGGCTACTACCTTTGAAGTTGATTTGATTCTTGATGATGAATTCACTGGAACTGCTTACTTTGCTGGTTTCAAAGGCGAGGTGGTGGTTGCAGATTTTGCAAATGTATTGAACCTCCTCAGGGACTACGATCCCGTGACGGACTCAACTGAGGAGATCCACAGCTTTCATGAGGTGCACCATGCCGCCATTCCTTCGGCTGCAGATCTTTTAGCTCAGGCAATGAACTGGGTTGAGAATGAAGGTGCATCAAGAGTCCATTTTTACAGCGCTCGAGAAGAGCCGACGACCAAGGCCGCTGAAAGCTGCTGCAAAGTGTATGACCAATGCCGCCCTAGCCGAACAGCTGTCGGCTTTGCAAGCTCAGGTCTCTTTGATCATGGCTCAGGCTCAGGGAGGAGAAACTATGAGCAAGCAACTGGCAGAAGTGACAGCTCCTGCATCTGCCACTCTTGCAGGCGGGCTCGCTTCTTTGGGCACCTCAGCAGTTATCCCCAAGATGCCACCGGTATCTCAAAAACTTCAATCGCCCGGACTGTTCGCGCTCCGGCGAAAGCCTTGCAGCTTCTGGGTCCTCCACCTCGGACTCGGGCCTCTCCAAAGACTTCTGGACCAGCTCTCCTGCAATTCGACGAGCCATTGGATCCTTTGAAAGCTCCTCCAGAGACTCCAGAGCAGATCCTATCTCAGCAGTCGATGGCGCTGAATGCCCTGGTCTCGCATCTCATTCAAGGAGGGGGCAATCTGGGCCTGGACTATCATGCAGGAGGAACAAGTTCGAGTTCAACAAAAGGCACCATCAGAAGAGAGAAACTGCAATGACAGCAGCGGGAAGACCGTTCTCTCCGCTCATTTCCCCTCAGCTCGCCTCCATCAATCTCGCCTACCTCAAAGAGATCGACGTTCTTCAGGCTCGAAGGATGGAGGCAAAGGGAAAGAAATCTCAAGGAGGGGGCACTGCGATGACAGAGGAAGAGTCACCAAGTCCCAAAAGGCGTCCCAAGTTTCCAAAGAAGCCCAAGGGGGCGTCGGACGCCCAATGATGACTATGTTCCCGATCGTTGAATTCAATCCTGGTGCGAAGGATCATCAGTTTGCAAGAGACCTCCAGAGGGACCTAGAAGGGGGGCACCCTGAGCAGACACGCCCCGAGCCGACTTGCAAAGGGGTCAACCTTCCAGGCCTTTGGGCTCTTCTTCAGTTCCTGGGGTTGGTTTGGTCCCGACCTCTCAGAAAGGGCTGAACCTCCCAAGGACGGGTCGAGCGGGCCCGAGCGCAGAGAGATCAGACAAGTGAGCTATCCGTTATGGTGTTCCAAGCTGACAACACTGGTCCTGAGGTCTCGCTCGTCCTTTTCTTCATTTTTGGCATTCTCCATCCGTACGTCAAGGTGTTCTTCACGGGCACCTCCTTCACCGGCCTTGTTCCCTGTGCCGCCGCCCTCACAGGGCTGCTTCAACCGGATGCCCACGAATGTTTCCAGCAAGAGGAGGAAAACTATCAGTCTTTCAAGGGTGGTTCATGTGATTTTGCATGGCGCTCAACTTTTGGAGGGCAGACGGTGTTCCTAGCTCTGCAGATACTATGTGGAGGGCTCCCAACCATCTTCATCGTGCTCTTTACAAGAGGGTGAGAGCCTTTATCAAGTCGGACGGCGTCAATGGGTTTTTGATGCCCGCACTGTTGGTCGGAGGAATCCAGAGCTCATTGCACGCCTGGGGGAGTTGACCGATATGCTCACATGGCTTGGTTGCTCCGCCTCTCCATATTCCAATTTCTTCGCGGGCTTTGAAGTTGCCAAGAATAACACCACTTTTCCAGAACTGGAGCCGTACCATGATCTAGATCCTGCTCGACTTGTCCTTTATGGCCGGGCCCGATGGGACGTGACAGATTTCCTGAGTGATGAGTTGGTGATGGCTTACAGAGAGCCTGAAGTCCTCAAAGTTGATCGAATTCCTGCTGCCTGGGAGATTCCCAAGCTTCGTGATCCCGTCGAGACGGTGGCCTCTTTAGCTCATCTTTGGGATTGTTGTCATGGGCTCCTTTGCCTACATCGGGAGGGAGTTGAGTCGCGAGCCAAGCATGAGCTAGTACGCGTGTTCAACTGCTAAGCCCCTGATCGCGACAGGCAGATTGGAGACCGCCGTGGGCGCAATGCTGTAGAGTGTGTGGTGAAGGGCCCATCGTCGAATCTACCGGCAGGTCAAGATTTATGTGATCTTTCAGTGAACCTGGCTACAGATCGGGTCTATGTGTCGATCTCAGACCGCCGCGACTTCTACCACCAGCTTTGGGTAACGCGGGCAAGAGCCATCGCGAACACAGTTGGCCCGGGCCTTCCTGCTGACCTGGTCAAAAAAACTTCAGCCTACCAGCAGTTCCTGCTTCAGGAATCCCAGAGGTTGGTTGATCAAGATGCTTCGCTGCTTTGGGCCTGCTTTGATAGTATCTTGCAAGGTGATCACGCAGGGGTCGAAATAGCAACAGATGCTCATACCCAGCTTCTACAGTCCTATGGCCTTTTGAGTGAAGATGTTCAGCTGATTGCCAGTCGTCCTTGTTACGATGATAGTGCAGTGCAAGGGCTGGTGATTGACGACTTCTTCAGCGTATCTATCGATCCTATAGGGACAGCTCCTTGCGAATCCAGATCGTACAAGGCTTACGTGACTGCTCAGAAGGCTTTTGCTGATAATGAGATTCTTGGCTCTCCTGAGGAGGACATTGTGGCCGAGAATGAGGGCAAAACCATTGGCGCTTTCATCAACTGCAGTCCTTCAGCAGTGGCTGAGGGGCTATATACCGTCGGGGCTCCAGCGAAGAAGAGGCTTTCGTTGTCCTTCCTGACTTTGCAGCTTTGCGCCCTGCCGTACACGACAGCCTCCCTGCATAGGTGCCATGTTGGCGCCTGGGTTTCTATACTCCTCTACCGTCGGCCTATGATGGGCCTCTTGAATGAGGCTTTTATGCAGGTTGACTCCACCACTGAACTTCAGGACAGTGCATTGGTTCCTCTACCTCGGAAAGTTGCTCAGGAGCTTGTATTGTGTGCAGTTCTTGCTCCGATGATGATGTCTGACATCGCGGTCGAAGTTGACGAGATGATGTATGCGACCGATGCCTCAGAGTCCAGAGGAGCTGTATGCAGTGCGTTCCTTGGGCAGGAACTGGTGCGAATGCTGTCGCGAACATGCAGAACAAAGGGAGCCTATACCAGGTTGAATCAAGAGAACAGCGAGCTGCCCCCTACACTGGACAGTTCTGATTCTGATGATGACTCACCTGGGCATGGAGACTGTAGAGGACCATCCCGACTGTTAGCTTATAGCTTCGGCTTCATCGAAATCTACGCAGGATCAAGCAGAATCACTCAGGCCATTGCGCCTTTGCAGGTCTCTGTCGGCCCGCCCCTGTATCCGAGGAATACGAGCTTGTCCTGGATATACTATCTCCTGGAATCTGGACGATTGTTGGCAGTGGCTGTGGAGCCCCCGTGTACCAGTTTTAGTATCATGCGGCGTCCTGCCCTTCGGAGCAGACTTGTTCCATACGACTTCAACCTCAGAGATCCACAAACGAGGTTGGGGAATTTGCTTTTCCTTCGAGGGCTGCAGATCATGAAGAAGGCTTCACTTCATGGAGCAGCTGGTCTTCTAGAGAGGCCTTTCACCGCCCTGAGCAAATTTCTGCCTTCCTATCAAGCAGCGCTCTCCTGGGATGGAGCTTGTGAAGAGAGATTTGATTCTTGCCAGTTTGGGTCCATTCACCAAAAGTCGCTCGCTATGCTGGGCATCAATCTCGACTTGCAGAGCGTGGCCAGAAGATGCAAAGGTTTGTGGAACCATGTTCCAGTTCAAGGGGTCTATACCAAAGCCTCTACGATTTATACTCCTGAGCTCGCGCATACCTTGGCCTGGACCCTAAAGCATTCCATCAAGCTGATCAAGAACTACAGGGCTGATGATGTGACGTGTAAAGTTGTCGGTCTCGAGAACCAGTTGGTCAACGAGCTTATGCTTACTGGTCAGTGGGCTGTTAAGAAAGCATGGAAGTTCAAGCAGGTAGCTCATATCAACATCTTGGAGCTCAAGGCAGTTGAAAGGCTGGTTGAAGATAGGGCAAAATCCGGCCCCTGCACATTCCTCAACTTCGTGGACTCCAACGTCACTCGCTGCGCCCTGGTCGGTCAGCCTCTACAGCTCTCTCTACAGTGCTGCGAAGGATTGCATCCACTATGATTGCCTATGGTCTGTATATGGTTACTCCTTTCTGTCCGACCAGGCTCAACTGCGCAGATGATCCAACGAGAGAAAGGCCACTTCGTGAACCAGTTCATGGTTTAGATTGGACAAACCTTCCTCTGCAGCACATATGGAGCATTGCGCAGATCAAATGTTCTCGAAGATGGGCTTCAAACTGGATCAGGCTGACGCTTTTGATATGGAAGCCTCTCGTCGCAATGCAGCATTTCAAGAGTTGGAGAAGGCGCCACTATCCATGCTCTGGCCTTGACTTTGGCTCGTCAGCTTGGAGCCCCAAATGCCCTGATGTGGATTTCTCATCAATGGACTTTGACTCCACCCTTGGCTATCCAGGCGAAGGCCCTCCCGGCCGCATCTCCTGGTCTCATGCCTAGACCATGCCCTGGTCTTCTGCCCAGCGCACTCAGGCATCTTGCCTTCTCTGGCATTTGCAACTTCCTTTGTCTTCTCCTTCGAGGTCTACTTGGACTTTCCCAATGTCACCTCTCTTGCCATGCTCGGGTGCTGCTCCTTGGGGTGCTTGCTTTAGCCGGCGCGACTGGGTGCGATGCCATGAGACCCACCACCCCGGCAGAGATCGTGCGAGCACCTGACCGAAATGCCAACGAGCCGCTGCCTCTGGGACGGCCAACACTGCCTATAACTGGCAGGCTGCGTGATCGATACTGGTCACAGTTTGAGGCGTGGCTTGCAGTTGAAGGGGTCGATTTTGCTGCTTTGTTAGATCAACATGTCACTTGCATTGATGATATAAACGCTGTGGTAACTCGTTTTGGAAGAGCGCTTTATCATGCTGGCAAACCCTACAACCAATTTGCAGAAACTATTAACGCGCTTACAGCGAAGAAGCCTGCAATTAGAAGATTGATGCAGGGGGCGTGGGATTTTGCTTTTTCATGGCTTTACGCCGAACCGGGTAGCCATCACGTTGCAATGCCGTGGCAAGTTTTGTTGAGCATGATTACAGTGAGCCTGACCTGGGGGTGGACCTATTTCGCAGGGTCCGTAGCCCTGTGCTGGGGAGCATTGTTGAGACCGGGCGAACTTTTTGCGGCCACGCGGTCAGAGCTTTTGTTGCCAAGAGATGTGGAAAACACAGTGGCATTTGGCCTCCTATCCATCAGAGAACCAAAAACGCGGAAGACAGGAGCAAAACACCAGTCGGCTAAGCTTGATGTCCCCGACCTCCTACAGGTCGTTGATTTTTGTTTTGGCAATCTTTCTCCTGGTGTGCGCCTCTGGCCGTGGTCGGGGCAGACCTTTCGAAGTCGGTTCAGAGATGTGTTGTCCGCCCTCAAACTCCCGATTGAGAAAGTTGGTGATATGAAGGCGCTTGACCCCGGTAGCTTGCGTTCTGGTGGTGCCACATGGCACTTACAGACAACAGAAGATGGTGAGTATACACGTAGGAAAGGTCGCTGGATATCCTCAAAAGTTATGGAGATCTATGTGCAGGAGACGGCGTCACTACTTTTCTTGAAGAAAATCCCTGCAAGTTCACGTGACCTTGTTCTTTTGTTTGCACACCTCTTCCCTGCTGTGTTCCGACAGGTCCGCAGATTTGCTACTCTGGGCCTGGCTCCTTCGGCTTGGCAAGTCCTACTGGTGAAAGAAGAAGCTTGGAAGTGATGGGCGAAGATGGAGGATCCTTTTCATGGTGGCGTTCACTTGCCACCCTGTGGAGCTTCAGTATGGAGGAAAAGAGTGTGCCAGCAGATTGAATAGTTATATATATATATATTTTTTTTTTCGAAACCTGTAACCTTTTTTTCACCTTTCCTTTTTCTTCTTCCCGAGTTTCTTTCTCGAGGTGCAAGATGATAGGCAAGAGGATGTGGGCGAGCCAGACTCCCCTGCGCCACTTCAAGGCAAGAACAACAGAGATGTGGATTTTTTGTTTTGTTTGTGTAGAATCTATTTTTATTTAGAGAATCGAGTTCTTAACATTTTGCGATTGAACAACTCTGCAGGGTTTGGCGGAAGATATCCTGAGAAAGGTCGAAAAGAAGGCCGGTTGAAAAGACGAAACGTGGAACATGAGGAAAGCAACTGTTAAGGAGGTAGATTGGGATTGCGAAGAAAAAGGAGTGTCTTAGCCTTGGCTTCCTTTGCTTAAAAATCACGGCCTGAATTTACGTATATACATGGATTGACCCCCCCCGGAATATACGACGACCAGTTTTGTAGTCCTTTTTTCTCATAGAGTTTGGCTCGAACAGTCGATGAGCCTTTGCAGTGACTGCGGCCTCCTTACTGGTGGGGAGGCTGAGATCCTCTGCAGTTTCTGCAGGGTACGCAATAGATCCTGGACTACTCTCGACGATCTCCCCGCCGGCCTTCGACCTTGCGGTGAATACAGTCCGAATCTGGACAGGCGTGCTCCAGGAAGGGGAGAAATTCAGCGAGCTTGTGTGCCAGAAGAAGGCCGAGGAGAGCACGACAGCCAAGGCGAAGAGCCCACTCGGCGGACTCTCCCTATCCAGGGAGGGAAAGTCGCTTGAAAGGAAGTCGAAGGATTTTTCTGAGCCAGCCCTCCTACTGGCAAGTCAGGAGTTGTTTGGGCTGAAGTAGAAAAAATTCGACTTCGTCAAAACTTCATCGCAAAAAGTCGAGAAGGAAAGGCGGGTAAAGCCGTCTGTGAGACCTGCCAGGCGTTCTTCGCGGTCGCCGCCGGAGGAACCGCCCTCCAGTCAGGCCACCTCCAAACTATGGGAAGGGCTTGGCAAGGACCCATCAGAGCCTGGAAGTTGAATCCAAAAACCAAAGTAGAAGATCGAATGAGGCAACAACATTTGGCCAAATGACCCTTCAGGACGTACGATCATGAAAGACAGGGTAATGCGACAACATAGTTACCAACAACAACTTCCTCAACTGAGCAAGCTGTCAGCCAAAGACATCTGCACCATTCAGGGTGTAGCGCGGGGAAACGCAAGAAATCACACCAGGTCCAAGCAACATAGTTTTAAAAATCTTTGCTGTCTCGTAAGAAATCCCTCACGCAAAGACTTTTCCTTCTCGATTGCCTCAGGGGGCATTTGGAGCCAGGACCAGTCCGAGATCCAGCCCCCTGCGCGCCAGTATTACCGCCAGACACTGGCCCCTCGACTCACAGGGGGCCGTGCGAGGGAGGCATTGACGCTTGCTACTCCATCGATCTTTGGAGGCCATTGCCGTTGCAGCTAGGTTGGAGGCCATTGCAGCTAGGTTGAAGGCCATTGCAGCTAGGTTGGAGGCCATTGCAGCCAGGTTGGAGGCCATTGCAGCTAGGTTGGACGCCATTGCAACCAGGTTGGAGGCCATTGCAGCCAGGTTGGAGGCCATTGCAGCTAGGTTGGACGCCATTGCAACTAGGTTGGAGGCCATTGCAACTAGGTTGGAGGCCATTGCAGATAGGCCATTGTTGCTAGGTTGGAAGCCATTGCATATAGGGTGGAGGCCATTGCTACTAGGTTGGAGGCCATTGCATATAGGTTGGAGGCAATTCCTTTTAGGTTGGAGCCATTGCTAGTAGGTTGGAGGCTGTTGCTATGTGCTGCCTCCCGAGCGTCCGGTATTGAGTTTGCGTGGGAGGCAAAGGAGGCGATCAAGGAGCAGAAAGAGGAGCAAAAGATTCGCAACGAGGCTGCAATGGCGAGATTTCAACGCGGAGGGTCGTGGCAAGGGAAAGGAGTCAAAAGGCTGGGCAAGAAGGGCAAAGAGCAGGGAGAGCTAAAGAAGTGAGGAGAGGACCCATGAACAATGGGAGTACAGAGCGGCTGCAGCTCCATGCCTGAGGAGGACCTCAACTCTTGAGGACTTCCTATGCTCGGCAGTGCTGTCGACGAGGGCGCAATGAAGCACATGGCAAATGTCGGGGATGGGCTTACAGAGGCAGTCCCTTGGTTGGTTGACGCGTTGGTTCAAGCTTGTCGTTTGGGATGGATTTGCAACGCGAGACAGAGAGCCTCATTGCCCACCAATCACCAACCTGTCACACATCCTGGGGATCACCAACCTTGAGACTTGCCAGACTTGCGTCGCGCTGCAGGTTTTTTGTGGGGTTGCTGCTGAAAACGATTTCCACCCCACGTCACTACTTCCATCTGAAGACCATGATCAGTGTGGGAATGAGGTACTATGCGCCCAACCCACAAGCTGGGCGAACTTGCAGTTGTGGCAGAGCTCACTCCTACTCGCTCCTACTGAGCTACTGCTACCTTCTCCAATGGAACCTCACCTCCACCGCAACCCAGGTGGAACATCGCCTCCAGTTCTGGCTTCAAATCAAGCTGCAGCTTACACTCCAGCGCAGTGGCGTTTCACCACCAGTTCCCTGGTTCCAGCTGGAGTTGGAGCCTCACCTCCAGCCTGCCTACGCTCCAGCGCAGTGGAATTTCACCTCCAGCCTCGCGCGCGTACATTCCAGCCCATTGGCGACTTTCACCAGTTCCAGGCAGCTGGCCTCACCTCCCCAGCCCCACCTGGCCTCACCTCCAGGTCCAGTTTTACTCACCGAAAAAATGACAACCCACACACAACCCAAGTCAGGAAGCGCTTAAAAAGCGGCAAGAAATTGTAAACAATTGCCAAACAACTGCAAACCTACTAGGGATGGCCTCCAACCTACAAGGGCACAAACTGCAAGAAAACTGCAAGAAAATTTGCATTTGCAGGACTGGCCTCTGGCTTTGGCCACTGGGTCCTGTATACTGGATCACTGCAGGAAAACTGCAAGAATTTCAGGGGGGCCCGCGTGTGGACTTTTGCCTTTCGGTTGGTCTGCAAACCAAACTGCAAGGAAACTGCGTGGGGAGGTCAAAGTTTAGTTCTTGCAGTTTCCGGTTGCAGTTTTCTTGCCAGTTTTTTGCAATTTTCAAAAGGAAAACTGCCAAAAATGCAAGAAAACTGCAAGAAGTATCGCAAGAAAACTGCAAGAAGTATCGCAAGAAAACTGCAAGAAGTATTGCAAGAAAGCTGCGAGAAAACGGCAAGAAGTACTGCAAGACAATTGCGAGAAAACTGTGGGAAAACTGTCGCATAGACTTTTTCCATTAAATTTGATCATTTTCATTTCCTTTCCCTTTTCCTTTTCTTGTCCTTTTCCTTTTCCCTTTCCCTTTTCCTTTTCCTTTTCCGTTTCCTTTTTCCTTCTCACTTTCTTTTCCTTTTCATTTTCCCTTCGCACTGGGTCCTGTAGTCAATTCCCCTTTAAATGGCGCCCCCTTGGACAAGTTTCCATTTGAGCCAAATCCCCATAGCCAAGGGAGCATGGCTCCTTGCCTCGGCGGATTGTTGGAGTGAGGAACGGAAAAAGGAAAGGAATAGTACAAGGATAAGGAAAAAGGAAAAGGAGACGGAAACGGAAAAGGGCAAGCGCAAGGACAAGCGCAAGGAACAGGAAAAGGAAAGAACAGGGAAAAGGACAAGGAAAAGGAAAAAGGAAAGAAAAAGGAACAGGGAAGGAAAAGCAAGCGGAAGGGAAAAAAAGGAACAGTAACAGGAAAAGGGAAGGAAAGGCAAGCGGAAGGGAAAAAAGGAACAGTAACAGGAAAAGGATAGAAAGGGAAAGGGGCAGTAAAAGGCCAGCGCAAAAACAAAGACAAATAGCTAAAGGGAAAAGGAACAGAGAAAGCGTGTCAAACGTGTGTTCTCCGAGTTCTGTCACCATTAACCATTGTTAAATTTTGTTTGTCCTCTACTCGGTACAAAACCACCATTTAATTACACGCCTCTCATACATTCTTGAATAGTTTCTTGCAAAATTTTGCAATATTCTTGCAGTCTCCGCTTGCTGTTTTTTGCAGTTTTGAAAACAACTATTTGACAACTCTGGTCTTGCGTTGCAGTAAAAAAGACGCAGAGAGTCTTTACATATATGCATCATATATGAATATGCTATATACTAACTCACTATATACTTACGGCTAATATATGTGTATAATCCTATGCCACGAAAGCCAGCTGTTAGGCAGGGCTTGAGGTTGTTGGAGCGAATGAAGTGAGTAAAGGGCGTGTGTGGGGGGGGTGAGGGGTAAGTTCGCCAAAGTGGCAGTGAAGTACACTGGACCTGATCGATAGACCCTTGTGGACTCTCAAGTGTGCGAGCTGCGACGAGCACACTTTTCTGTGGCGCGGAGTGCAGTTTTGGGCTTCAAAGTCTTGAGCCAAAAGCGACTCACGCAGTAATGCGTATATACAATCATCTACGAACAACAGGCGCTATGCGTGTATAGCGTAGGCATGGGAACCTAGGACGCTACAAAACACAAACAGACGCACATTTTCTTCGCGTCGGAGCTTACGGCTGCAAAAGTACAAAAGGTGCAGGTGAATTACAAAAGTTCTGTCTTCGCAGAACTAGACCGTGGATGCCATTCTGGCCCAAAAGTTAAACCTTGACGTCAGACAGTCTAAAGTTCTAACGCAAAAGGTAGAGTCTTTCGAATCTGTACAAATCTAACCGAATGCAATTTATCAGGCAAAGAAATCTCCGTAATGCTTTTCGAATGCTGTAAGGAATCTTCATCCCCAAATCAAAGTTGAGGGTCCGGATGGGCACCCTTCTCCAGGTCACCCTTGTTTACAGGAAAACTAAAATCACATTGAATCACATTTGAATCATCTTTATTCTTTTTTGAAGCTTATAAAATCCTATTTGTGCAGTTTTTTGTTTTTAAAATGCAAAAAGTGATTTAAACTGATTTGAAAATGCAAAAAGTGTATTTGTCACTTTTGTTTCTGAACGTGATGTTCATTAAAAGGCTGACAAGTAAATGCTTTAATCTACTGTGTTTGAAAGTCAGCATTTCATTGTCATCTTCATTTTGTTATGAGTGTTTTTAGCATTTGAGAGGACTACTACTATTGATATTTCAATTTGTTTTTAGAAGAACATGTTTCAAGTTGTGAGTTTTAAAACCAACTAAACCTTTGGGTGGTGGAACCTTCACTGACCGACGTTCATTGATTCATGAGTCACTTGATATGGTAAGCGCAAAACTAAATGCAAGCTGACCGACTATCACAA